CCCCCCCCCCCCCCCCCAAAAAAAAAAACAAAAACATGCAAAAATCAAGGCTTTTGGCTTGGGACCTGTCTTCTGGTACACAGCATGTGTGTACAGTTGAGCATCCTAGCCCACCTGCCCATGCGAGTAGTCCCAGTCACGTCAATGGGATTACTGCTGGGCAACCTTACACATCTACTCTTTGAAAAACCGGCAGAGACCCTGGACTAATGACACAAGCAAAACCTGGTTTCTTTATCCCTGGAGGAGGGCCACTCCCCTCATACTTCAGGCTTTGCTGAAGATGATTTTCCCTCCGAGCTACAGGGAGGGAGAAGAGATGTGGACGCCTGCCAGAATTATATCCCGAAAGATGGCTCCCCCCACCCTAGGGGAGCAGCAGGCTTTCAGAGCTGCGTGGGGCTGTGCCAAGAAACACCTGCTGGGACAGTGAATCTGTCCCTCCAAGTACGTGCTTGAAGTTAGCTACGTGGATCACGGTGCTCAGCACAGGGCAGGACTGGTCTCCTAAGGGGGCTGGGATGCTTAATGGGAACATCATGCTCAACCTGGAAAAAATGTGCAGGTTCAAGTTCCCTAATGCACACAAGTCTGCTCCATGCAGAAGCAGCACCACAGGCAGCAGTCCCAGGACCGAAGCCCTTTGAGAGTTAATTCAGGACAATTGCATCATGCTAAGGGGGACTTGCATGAAGTCCTGGGACCAGGCTCTGCCTGATTCCCTTACGGAGACACAGAGGCCAAAAGAAGCCCTTGTCTTCCTTGGCACAGTCCATGGAAAAGCTACGCTGCTGTAGGGCAAGCGTGGCTGACCTGCAACGAGCCACAAGTGGCCCGACAGCCTCCATGGTGGCACGTGGCAGATTGGGGAGGGGGCAGGCAGCACAGCAGCAATAGGGAAGAAAGCAGAGCAGCAGATTAGGCAGGGGGCAGGAATTGGAGTGGCACTTGGAGAGGGCACAATTTGTGACACACCTGTCAACAAGGTTGGCCTCCATAGCTGTAGAGGAACGGCTGCGTCCATGCTATCGTGGTGCAACGTGGCATCCTAAAGGGAATATAGGACCGTGGCTCCCTGCTATCACCCCGAGAGCTGCTCAGGGGAACTGTTGTACCTTGTGGCAGGGGAGGCAGTGGGAAGTACTTACCACACTTGGTAATGGGAATGCAGCCTCTGTCTATCCAAGAGGCATGTCTCCTTGAGGCACAGCATCTGCCAGTGCTTCCAACCTGAAGATAATTTGGGGTTCAAGGAGCTTGGTGCAGACCTGAAGTGTGAGCTGTTGAAAAGCCCTGTCCAGTCCTGCTTCCCATCTCCCTTTTTTCTTACCATTTCTTTAATCACACATCTTTTGTGTGGCTAATGCTGTCAAGAGGCAGTGAGGAGCAGGAGGACACGGCGCGCTGTGAGACCAAGCTGATGTGTGTGGTGGATGAAGAAGGGTCATGCACCATGCGCGTCCCCGCTCCGAAGGAGCAGCTGCCAGCCCTGGGGATGGCAGTCTTGTGTTATCCTCGGAGGTCAAACTTGCTCTCTCCCGGCCCCTTTCGGCCCCTGCTCTCTGCTTCTTCTTAGCCGGGAACTCTTGGTTTCCTCGCTAGGCCTGGGAGTGTTTGCATTGGGTTCGGTCCTTGGCCATCCCCTGACTCTATTATCAGCAGTGACATGAACGGTTTTCCACTGGCAAATAGAGTGAAACCTGCTAAATTAATTTCCCCTGACCCACTACACAGCAGGAGAGTTTGATAGCTTTTGGTCACTGCTGACCTGTAGCGAGTGGTAAGTGCCAGGAGGTGCAGCTCTCTGTATCCCATCACCAGTTCAGGGCTTGATCACGTACCCTTGAAAGTCAAAGGAGAAGACTCCTGCTGAGCCCACTGGCTTTGGATCAGGTCCCAACGGAGACATTAAATCTTCCAACATCTTGTTGCTTTCAGCATCCCCTAGAACGCAACACGACAGCCATTAAAACAGGGCAGAAATACGACACTTCACTGCTTGCTTGCTGCTGTATTTTCTGATAACTGCATCTGTGGCATAATCATCACCTCTGACTAAAATCAAATTTCCAAATGAGCAAGCAGCGTTTTTAGTTTTTCTTCACCTTCTGCTGGTGAACACTTTTTTTTCTTTCCAGTCCCTTTTTCTCTGCGGCGCTTTCCAATTCAAGAAATTGTTGTCCTGTGATAGGCATAGCAATGCCCCAAAATAGCAGTATTCTTGAACTCGTGTTTATCAAAGCAAATATTTGCTGGAATTGCATTAACATTTTTTCTACCCCAGTAGCACATAGTGGAGTTTTTCAAGCTAACCTAAAGCAAATAACTTGAAAGGGGTACTTCATTTTAATTAGCTACAGAGGATAGCATTCTTAAACACCCTAGCACTGAATCACTTTACTGGAACTTGGTTATTGCTTTCAGCAAAGCAACACTGTGGTCCCTTTCAATATGTAGCTTTTTGAATGGGTGTAATACCTAAATAAATCTATCCCTTAGCGCAGCTGTCTCAAGTCAAGTCTCCTGGCAGCTTCTAATCCATTCAAGGAGGAGAAACTTGAAAACTGACCCCAAACTTCAGTGGGTCACTTGGAAAAGCGCCTTCCAGTTCCTTTTGCACCCAGCGGTGATTTCGTAGTAGGGAAAAATAGTCTAGTGAATGCAAATGAAGGCAGAAATCAGGAGACTCTTGTGAATTATTTTGACAATACCAGCTGGTCTGAAATGGAACATGTGGGCCTGATATCGTGTCGTCTTCCTATCCCCATTGGAAGTGCATCCCCCCGAGCTGCAGATGACTGAATAACACTGCAGTGCTAAAGAATGTTTTAAATAGTGTGTGTCAACTATTTGCGGTAAATATAGTCTGCAAAGAGATCCTGGGTTTCTGTTTGCAAACTAACAGTTGGGAAAAGGTGGTTTAGTTGACAGAGCACTTGTCTGGAGCTCAAGAGCTGAGCTCTGTTCCTAGCTTAGATGCAGATGCCATGTGTGACCAAGGGCAAACCACTGACTCTTCTGCATCCCCATGTTAAAAAACAGGATCAATATTTTTGCTAACTTGCCTAGATTAGTAGATTAAAACCTACTAATGAAGACAAGATGCTCGACTGTTATGGTGACGAGAGCTTTTGTATGTTGAAAGAGCTCTAACTAGATGTAACATTTTTCTTTTCGCTGTTCCAAACTAAGAAACAATTTGTCCTCTCCAGCGTATTTCAGCCCTTTGAATTTTTCACTTAGAGTATTTGATTTTTGTAGTTTGGTGACAGGGAGATTTGGAAAAGAGACAGAAAATGGGTTATACTGCATGCTCTGCTCCTTGTTTGGATGAACGTAGGTTTTTTAATGTTTGAGAAACAAATTTAGGCCTGTTCTGGTAAAGCATTTAAGTGTGTGCTAAAGTCCTGTTCGCCAAAGCACTCACGCCCAGAATTTCTGATGTACAGATATAAAATTACAGATAGGCACCTAGTAGGATTTGCAAAGGTACCTGAATCATGGTCTTGAACTGAACTAAATTAAAAAGAAAATCTCCAATAATTTTTTAGCAATATTTACCCAGCTCTGGGGATGAGTACAGTCATTGTATGGCACCTAACATATCATCTGATAGTGTAGACGTATACATTTTTTAAAGAGCCAAATCCTGCTCTTAGCCTCAGGTTGTACATCCACAGTAAATACCATGGAGTTCATTCAGCTACAGTATTCAAATTGCAGGAATTGGCCCCAAATACTGAAGCTGTACCAAAAAAAAAAAAAAAAAGATTGTTTTGCTTATTTCTAACACAAGGTTTGCCCCTTGCAATGTGATGTAATTGGCACAACACAGATTTTGAACTTTCGGTATAATTTGAATATAAAATAAGGTGATATTTGTCACTTGAATAGCGCTGTATAAAACCTCGCATTGAATCCTCACGCACATGCTTTGAGGTCAGTTTAAATAACAACTCTAATGCTAATTTTATAGAAATGTGAAATTGAGACTGTACCTGGTATCACAAAAGAATTCAGTGTCGGGAGGGGATTCGAAGGCAGAAAGAAGTAAGTGGCTTCGAGTCCTGTATTCGCCCCACTGGAGCCCCTGCCCCCTGGAAGTACTGAACCGTTGATTTGTCTCACCTGGTCTTTTTTCCTGCTTGCACACTAACTATCAATCATTATTTTCTCAAGTGCACGCACTCGATTTCATTCAGCTAATACAGAGTTGTAGAGACGTCTTTATGAATTGATTGCCTATTGACTTGACTTGTACAGCGGTGGTACCAGCCACCTGATAGTGTTTGTTTTTCCCCCCTCAGATGAATGTGCAGGCAGTTCTGATGCTTCCCCTGAAATTTGCTTTAGCTGTATATATGACATGAAAACGGAGGGTGCAAATGCCTACATAAAATGAACTTACAAGGGGTGCAGATGTGGCCAGAATTAATTAATTTTAAAGTTTAACTAAATATTCGTGTTAAAATGGCATTGATAGCCAGCTCTAACTCTTAATAAAAAGCAGGGTTGGGAAGGATATAGTTGACGGTTCCCCATTCAGGGCAATAAACCAGAGAGAAAAGGAGTGTGCTTCTTAACCCTAAAGCTAACACCCTCATTTGAGTCAAGTATGCCTCAATAGCTTGGTGACAGGCAGCTCCCAAAGGTATGTCATAACCTCAAGCTCCCGATGATTTCATGGGGTTTGACGACTTTTCACGTGTTTCAGGCTCGTACCACAAACAAACACGATTCCCTCGTTCTAAACAGGATGTTTCAGCGGTGAATCGAAAGAGGGGAAGGCTGCACTACACCCAACTTCTGAGCTGTGGTTTCTGAGCAGCCAAGTATTACATAAGCAGAGCAGCAGATGTGTAGAGCTGCTGCAATAAAAGGAAACTGTGCTGCATTGCAGTAAAACAATGTAATTTTAGGATTTTCCCTATAACTGGGGAAACTTGCAAGGTCTATCTCTTACCTTGATTTTAGATGTTCCCTCTTAAGTGACAATGCTTACCTTGAAAAACTTAAAAAATTGCTTTAGGTAACATTATCCCTCTGTCTAGCTACCCATCACTCATCTGCCTCTCATTTCAAGATTGTCCTTTTGCACCATCGTGATAACATCACCGTACTCTGTGCACAGATGAAATCACGGTCTCGCAATTGCTGTGCTAGGTACTAGAGGTCCATGTCCTGAGCATCGGGTTTGCTCCATGTTTTGTCTTGAAATGGAGTTCCTTGGAAATAGGCAGAGAGCTGGACCCGATGATCTTGTAAGATAAGCCTGTGCAAAGCGGTAAGTATTCTTACTGTGGCCAATTTGGAGGGACAGTGATTTGATTCGGAGATTCGAATCACTGTCCCAATTCGATTTGGCCGAATCGGGTCTGAAGATTTGGTGCCAGTTCGGAGATTCGGCCATAGACTAAACAGGCAGCAGTCCTCACCACACTGGACACAGCTGCCTCCAGCTGGTAAGTCTGTTGTGGTGAGCAGAGGGGGAGGGAAGGGGCATGGGGGAAGGGGCGCAGATCAACACCCCCACAGCAAGGGAGGGATTGGGGCTGGGACAAGCTGCCCAGCCGGGACTCAGGGAGGGGGGCAGGGGGCCGTGGGATGTGGGCGCAGCAGTGCTTGGAGCGGGGTGCTATGCCCTGCTGCCACTTGCCTGGCCAGGGTGGGGGGCGGTGCAATGCAGGTGTGGCTCACTCCAGAAGGGGGCAAGTGGCAGCAGGGCATAGCCCCCACTCCCAGTGCACCCATGCCCACGTCCCGCATCCCCGTCCCAGCTGGGCAGCTTGTCCCAGCCCCAATCCCTCCCCCTCGCACCTTCCCTCCCCCCTCCACCTACCACAACAGACTTACCAGCTGGAGGCAGCTGTGTCCAGCGTGGTGAGGACTGCTGCCTGTTTAGTCTATGGCCGAATCTCTGAAGCGGCACCGAATCATTTCCAAATCAATTTGGAGGCTTCTGATTCGATTCGGATTCAGAGATTCGGCCACCGAATTGAGCCAAATTTCCTCCAAAGCAAATCAGCTACCAAAGCTTCGCAGAGCCCTATTGTCAGGTCCCTTCTAGCCTCTAACTTCTATGAATCGAAGTGTTTGCCTCTCTTTTGTGCTTTGAACTCTCAAGATAAGCACAAAAGAGAAAGCCAGGCTCCTTACAGTGGGTGGAAAGGCCTGATACAACTGTGCTTGATATGTTAAAGATAAAATTAAATGCAGCGGAGGCGGGGTGGGGGGTGAACAGTGTGTAGAGTAGGCTTGTAACCTCTTTTCTGTTGGGCAACCAAATACACTGATGAGTGAAGACAGCTTACAGTGGCTGCCCTTTCAGATAACATCACCTGATACTTCCTGTGCAATGTTCCTTCTGACCAGGGGGTCCTGAGCCCTATTGCACTGTTTGCAATTCATTTATTGCAGATGGATTAAATTTTTCTGAGATTAGGAATTTCTGAGCCACCAAGTATTACATAAGCAGAACAGCAGATGTGTAGAGCTGCTGTAGCGAAAGCTAGAGCTGAATGAAAAATTTCCAGCAGAACTTTACTTCCTCCAAAAATGGCTTCTCCTTCTTTTTTTTTCTTTTTTTGCAATCAGTATGTTCTTCAGGAATATTGAGTTCAATGAAATTTTGTTTTGAAAAAAATTAATTTAAGTGAAGCCTTTCGCTAAGGTTGAAATGCTCCCTTTCAGTCATTGAGGATTGCAGTGCATCTTTTCTTTCATTTTGATTAATTTTTACAGTCTAAATTACAATATAAACATTTCTGAAATTGATTGCCAGACTTCAGGAAGGCTTTTGATACTGTCTCTCACCCCAT